GGATCACTGGTATCTAAGTCTTCCGCTGTGTTATCTTGTACTTTGTATTGAAAGGTCGGTTCTTGTTCTGGTCTGCACGTTACAGTATGCAACACACACACTATCTGCTCTCGATTGAGGAATAAATCCAAGGACAATGGAATGCATAGAGCCATTTCCTTCTTTCCGGCCCAGGAATGGATCCAGGCCCGGAATGAGTGGATCCGGGCCCGGTAATGGGATCCAGGTACAATCAATCAACTGAGTGCGTCATCTGTCTGGTTTGTTTCTGCCTGCTCCAGGTTCAATTCCTAGTACGAGGGCCAATTGGGGCTGGGACGGTACATTGTGAAATGTTCTACGACGAGGCGAAAAAAGATTGGAGATTTACTTATCTGATTGTGGATGTTACATCCCCTCTTCCGGCGAAGAGAATCATGTTGGAATCGTACATCCCGTCGTGATGGCAGCTGCTGCCAAGCTCTCTAGGGTATTGTGAATTGTGCGCTTCGTAGTAAAGGGGCCAGCCAACACAGGAGGCTATGCGCTAATTATCTGTCCGGCAGCGCATATGCCTGTTTGTGTAAGCATCAGGTTTGTCTCTTGGCGTCAACGCTTCCCTCAATCTTTAAAAGTCTTCACCGCCTCCACGACTTCTCTCCCTCTCACATGCACACACACATAAGCACTTCTTCAAGCTGGGTGCTCGAGAGCCAATTGCATGCAGAGGGTTAGCAGTCTCACGGGTTTTACGCACTACTCTGACAAGACTACTGGCGCAAGCTCCCAGGTTTCGAGCATAAGGTGTTGTGGTGTAGTTGTGGAGCACGCAAAAGCACCTCCCTCTTGCCTCTCTCCAAGGTGTGATCATCACACCCAGCAGATAAGGTCTCAAGCATATGCTAATCATTGAAATATCTGCATTTCTGAGAGCATACTCACAGGAGGACTTTCCTGGATGTATCAGGCCGCAACTACAGCCGACTCGGGGTGTATCCGATTGTGATTCTGTTTCTAGATCAGTCGAAGAGGTCCGAAGTCCTAGTGTGTGAATACTCCCTGAATCATTGAAGCATCTGTTCTGTCAGTCTTTGCTGGAAGCGAATATTTTTTCCCACCAATGCTAAGCGGAGGTTCAAGAAAGAAGTCCTACCTGATCGGAAATGAAGGAGAGGTGGGGTGTTCCTCTTCTTCTGGGAAAATGGGCTCTCCTTGGACCGTACGTGGTCAGCCGTTGCCTCAGCGAGGGAAGCAAATCCATCAGTTGGTCTCTACGGTGGATGAATCTTCCGAAAGGCAATCTCCGACAGACACTCCACTTGGCCAAGGTTGTTCATCCAAGGCAAGCGGCGAAAGCGCCAAATCGTGTCAGATTGGGAAGAAATAAAGCCATGGCTTGCTTTGATGCCGGCAGATGTAAACAGGGAGAGGGGGGGGGGGGGGTGCATGAAGGGGTTAGCCAGCAACAACAATTGCCGTTGAAGTTGAAGTTGTTGTTGTTGTTTTTCAGTGGTGAACATAATCTGCGTATATATTGATTTGTTTCTTGCAGTGGATCTTGTGTCAGCGAGAGAGACGAGTCGTGACCTTCCGTGATGTTGATGTTGAGGTCGAAATCTGTGAGTTACGTCAGAGCAAATCGATTTCGTGAAATTCGTACGAAGAAGTATGCATCAGAAAAAAAACTCCAAAGATTCAAAAGGACACAGTGAAACAAGTACTTACTTCAAATTTCAGGGAAAGTAGAGAGAGAGAGAGAGAGAGCAGGTGGCATCTTGTCCTCGGGAGGTGGAAGATGTCCTCGGGAGGTGGAAGATGTGTGTACTGCATGTATTTGTTCTATCATCTTGTCGGAGTGCATAGCTAAGGAACAGTGGAGGAGGAAATGCACTGTATCTTCTTCTCTGTCTGTCATAATAATTGCGTCCCAAGGTTACATAAGGCAGGCTGGCTGTTACGTGTGTCCAAGCAGCAATTGCTGGATGTAATCTCACTCAAGCAACAATGAGCACTGTGCCTCCCTCTCTCTCTCCCCCTCTCTCTCTCTCTCTCTCTGTGTATCTCTCTGTGTATCCTCTCTCTCTCTCTCTCTCTCTCTCTCTCTCTCTCTCTCTCTCTCTCTCTCTCTCTCTCTCTCTCTCTCTCTCTCTC